ACACTCCTATATATATATATGTATATATATATATATAATAATATATATAAAGATTCATTCTTTTAGCTATTGAGTTTTTGCTGCTTTCCATACTGTCGTTGCGATGATAAATGAAAAATTTTCGTTTTGGACACAAACGTAGTCCTCCAAATTGAAGCATTTTTCATCAGGAAATTTTTTTAGGCATGTGAATTTTCGAAATGCCAAGGAGGCCTTAGTGGTACTATTCCGGAGTGTCACTGGTGAAGATTGGAACGATATTATGCATGACTGCATGGTATATTGTTAACATTTATCTTTGATGAAGGCAGTTATACGAGATAGATTTGTAAAGCTGTATATTGACATTGAAATGATGTATCCTTATTGATATTGCTGTATTTCGGAGTGACAGCTTTAGGATCAAGGAGAACAAATGTACACAGTGCAAAGAAATACCAACCTGTCTGTCGTTGTATTCTTGTTACATCGAACTTATCTCAGAAATCTTATTCAGATATTTTTTTTTAAGCGCAGTCCACCACTATGCTATTGGAAGGAAGGTGTCAGTTATTGGCAAACTGATTGTGGCAATTACTTTGGTGCGATCATCTACTTTTGCTCCTTCTATCTCATTATTACTTACATCGTTCTAAATCTTCTCGTTGGTTCGTTTTGACAATACTCTATATCAGTTTTAATTTTCTATTCTTATCAAAAGTGCCATGGAATGGACTTGAAATCATTATTGCAGCTGTAATCATCGAGAATTTCTCGCTGTTTTACTCAAGCGAAGAAGATGCTCTTTTAAGCTACGCAGACATCCGTAACTTCCAGCAAGTTTGGAATATGGTAGATGTAGAACAAAAGGTAAATAGATCTAGCGATCATAAATTACTAACACTATTTTATCATTTAATGCAACTCTTCTTTCGATAGTAACGTGCAACCTTGGACAAGACATGTGTTGTCTTTCTGGGAAAACAAAACTTACACCGCTACGCATTGAATCATCCCATTTAAATTTAGCAATTGCACTTAGCATTTGCACATTTATAGCGCACAATACCAGTTCGTCGAGTAAAATTTCTATTACGTTTACTAAAAGGTCGACTGGAGGTTGATCCTAACCGAGACCGCTTGTTGTTTAAGTACATGTGCCATGAAATGGTTCGATTACATAATGGTGACGACATCTCCTTTCATGATGTTCTGAAGTTAGTTATTATTTAGATTCCTGTTGATAAACACTAGACGACTCATTGTTCCTGTTTCCTGTTCTTTTCATCGACTATTTTTACTTGTAACTGCAGTTTCACTGTTTCATTCATTCTTAGTATTTGTGCGAAAGATAAAAAATTTTTCAGCATGTTATCTTACCGCAGCGTGGATATACGAAAATCTCTACAGCTTGAGGAACTGTTGCATCGAGAGGAATTGGAGTACATCATTGAAGAGGAAGTGGCAAAGCAGACAATACGTTCATGGCTAGAAAGTTCTCTACGACGAATCAAAGCACAGCAGAATGTGCCTTTTTCTATTTTCATCATTTTATTAATAACTTCAAGCATTCATTGCCAACTCTCATTCACTTTACATTCATGCAAGGGAAACGATACAGTTATCCGCCCTTAACTTTCCGATACTTTTCTTTTTCTTTCTTTTTTTTTTTTAAGTCTCTTTGCATATGAGTAGAATAGATCATAAAAGACCATCCAGTTATCTGATGCATCTCATTCTCCGACAGATGCATAACTTCTTAAGAGGAATGTTTAGTAAACACTTTCTGGAATAATTACTTTCAGAAAGACATTCCACTGATTGCACATCTCCGACCCTTTCTAAATGAACAACACATTGTGCCCTCGATGCTACAATTAAATCAGGTCCCAAATCAGATGAATGCAGCAAGTAATCTTCAGCAAGATCAATCGCAACAATTTCGTGAATTGATGGATAACGAGGAGGAGGAACTGATTAAATGTAAATCAACTAAAAGGTCACGGAGGAGTAGCATTCCAGAACTTGTTGGTGTTCGTCTTTTTCCATTCCGTATAAAAGAGAAGAGACAAAATAGTACATCAACAAAGTGTTAGGAACACAGCACAGATCGTTCTATTAACTAATTCGAAGTGATCACAAACTTGAAGATTGGAAGCAATATCGGAAAGATGGGGGTTCACAGAGTGAAGTAACTGAAAGAGGTTTATTCCTGATGATAGCTCATAATATCTCTGGAAGGGTTTCATGTCAAATTAGTAAATATTTCCACTTTATTAAAATGTAAATACAAGATAAGTGGAGAAGGAGGGAGAGAATTATTTGTTTCATCTGAGTAAATTCCATAAGTCCTATCACCCGATCCTGAATCTGTATAAAAATTGATTCACTGTTTTACTTCTTTACTCACTGACTTCTAAGCTTAAACGTTTCGCTTTGCTACTTGCACTGAAGTGGAACTTGTTTCGCAAAAGTGTTCTAACACATAATAGCGCTGACGCGTTGGGTCTATAGGCACAATCTGACTTTCATCAGATTTATGTGTAAATTAATAAGGTTGTTGACAAAATGACAAAATTACACACAACTTTTCGTTTTTGTTACATTATTGGTTAAACTACTGCAGCTTTATTACAAATCCCAATTTTAGGAAGCTGCAAAAAAATTTATTTTCACTGGAAGTTCCAGCGCGCGACTGCGAGGAGTACATAGTGTTCAATCGGTAGATCGGACAAGCTGTCGTGAGGAAAAAGGCGTAAAGTCTTTACTCAGCACTGAAAGAAGTACACCAATCACTCGCGATGAGCGGAGGTCAATAAAAGGTGTTCAAGTTAATGTACGTACCATATTTGTCAGCTTCATCTACTATCCATTCCCTCCTGGAAAATTGAACATATGGATGGGGAAAGGGAAGAAGCTTTCCTGTTTGGATTGATTCTTAGAGAAGTGCACAAATTGGTCGCACAGTTTTTGCTGTCCATGGTTCGAGGTTCATTTAGAAGGGAACAGAAATAACTGCTGTTTTTAGTTACCAGGCAGCGAACTACCTGATGTTAAAGAGTGGAATGAAGAGAACGTCAGCAATGATGTAGCCAGTTTTACCGACCGGAGATATTCCGCAGAATCTGCCCTTCTCGCTGTTAATGAATTCAATAACGGTAATATTGAATCGTTTGTTTTCTATATTAGTTATTCTCTTACTTTTTCAGTTCCCGTACCGAATCAAATTTTTCCCATCATAAACTTGAGAATAGTTTCAACGTGAAAGCTGAGTCAAGTTGTTATAAAAATCCTCACTCTCATTCTCACCTTGTAAAGAGTCTTCCGAAATAATTTCAAGTGTTCCGGTAAATTGATTAGAAAAGGATTACTACTAATTCTGACTAGCGAAACTGGCAGAAAATTTTCAACATTACTGCCACGAAAGTAGGATGAGCACTTTTCATTTTTTCTTCCAGCTATCTTACCAATTAAAGTAGGTGACCCTCCTGAGGATTACTTGCCATTCATGTTATGCAGCACATTTCTTTGAGTTACAATAGTAACAACTAGTAAATAAGTTGTGATGTTCTTTTAGATTCGATCTCATTTACCAGTAAACTTGCCAGCGCTCCCTTTACATGGGCATCTTCCTCAGCTGGTGAGGAAGATGCCCATGTGAAGGAATGGTGGTCCGATTCCAATATTCTCATCCTCAGCTAGTAATTGGTCAGTTTCCTTCCGTTCATTACTTCGGCCGATTCAGCGATATCATCCTTTCATTCATATTATGAGTTGCGCTTGAACATTTTTTTGGTGAATGTGTCATCGTTCTCTTGCCCATTTGATTTCGTTCGATATTATTGCAAACAACATTGACATTCCTAACTTATCACTTATCAGTTGTAAATATTCACTATTGTGTGTAATTTTTTCGAGCTAATCATTTCGAAGGAAGTTGGTGGCAATAATTGATTACATTCAAGTGGTAGTTTTGGAGATCAGTTTCTGAACTATGCATCAAGATCAAAGAAACCAATCATTTAAGAAAGTTGTGGGCCAAAGAATATGGTAGAAGCTGTAAGAAATTCAGACCTTGCACTTTGCAGGATGTAGTTTAGACTGCAAATTTTGCAGTAGCATATACTTCGCTGTCATTTTGAAAAATCTTGGTTAGTTGCCACACTTGAAAATCCTTCTTCAGTAGTTTTTGCTCTTTTTTTGTGAGGAATTTCTTAATTTCATATCTTACTGAGAAGATAGCTCAGTGACCAGTTGATGTGTGAAGATTCGAAAATGATGATGGTACTGCGAAGAATAAAACCCAGTGAATCATTCCGAATTCGAATGCGAATTATGTTCTCCCATTATTTTCATGCAAAAATTCAAATGGAAGTACAATAAGTTAAAATTTATTAAACTGAATTCGTTTTCTCATTTCCGATTTTCCTGACAGCCTTTCGAAAAGTAATCTGTCGAATGTGACAGTGGAAAAGCAACAAAACTTGATTATGCCATGTTAGGCAGCTATTCCCTTAACATAGTTCCTTCCTAGAGCAGACATCTGCTTACTTCTTCACTGAGAATGGCCAATTTATTTGTTGCATAAATTTTATATCTTGGGCGGCACTGTTATCAAAGATATCCAAAATATAATGTTACAAAATTATTGAACAAAATGGAAAGCCGAATGCGAATCAAAAATTTTGAAAAGTGAAGAGCTGTAGCCCTCATGGGGTGCACACATGAAACTTATTACATATACTGTTGGGGTGAATTTCACTACTGATCCACTGGAGGACGCGAACCAGTTCGCGAAGAATAAGTTCGCAAACGGCTTCGAAAACGATTTTATTCCCAACTTTGTCTTCGCATCGCTCCATCATCATCTAAATTGCTTTTGAGTGAATCTAAATATTCCTTTAACCACATAGTTTTAAATTTATCAAGCACTTGATTAATCAAATGTGTCATCGCTTTCAAAAAGCATCGTATACTTCACCAATTGGCGAAGATTCAGTGATTGCGTGTGATGAAGATGACAAAATTTGATGAGTGAGCAAACTGAATAGAATGGTTAGATAAGAACTTCCCACTGCAATCAATTATCTTCAACATTTATTGCTTCTTCTCAGGGGAGCGAATGTATTAAATGATAGGGAGACGGTCATCACTTACAAATTCCTTTTGAATATATATACAAAGAAAATTGAAAGCATTGTCACGCAATTAGATGTTTGAAATTTATCAATAAATCTCCGAAATTGATTGATGGTTTTTTTTAAAATAGGATTATGAATGCACGACAAAGACGATTTTTTAAGGTGTAGGATTTCATTTCAACCTCAAATTCGTTAGCAAAATTCAACCTCAAATTCGTTAGCAAAATTTTGGCAGGTTGTTAAATTGGAGGCCACATGTTGCTTCGCAAATTATCATTGTAATTTTAACGTTGGGGAGTATGTTTTTCGATGGTGTAAGGTACTGTTAAAACTGTCTGCATATTTAGGTTTCCAGATTTAGGGTTCAAGTGTAATCAGAATAGCTAAATAGCTAAATAAAGATGTAGCTGACGTGAATCAATTGCAGTCCTCATGACGCCATGACGCCTTCAATTTTATTATAATTGATTCAGCAGTTTAATTTCACCTATCCTTCCCGCATAGCTTCTTTAAAAGATTTTTTTTCCGTGACCTCAGAGTTTACCCGGTGACAAATTGATTTTTCGACTTTCTTTTGCCTAAACTTCGAAATCCTGAATATCTCGTTTTGGAATCTGTGATTATACCTGGCTGACAACTGGGGACGCTGTTCCATTGATGACCAATTTTAAATCTTCCAGAAAAACCACACATAAATTGCATTTGTCAATCTTCTTGACTGATGGTAAATGGCTGTCAGTAGCAATCAGTGTTTCATGAAGTTCTATTAGATTATTATCCAACTGTCGAAAATCGGAAACGACAGCAACGGTTTCAACAAGTGGGACACGAATAATGTAAAGGTAGGATAAAAACCAGTAAAACATAACTGCAAAAAATCAATCTCAAAACAGGTTTACCATAAAAAGTTACTACTCCAACATGGTAGTTCCCCGTTTTCCCGAGCTTGCTAAGCAGCGGTCCCAGATTTCAGTTTGAATAATTCCAAAAACCCCTTGAAGTAGTGTCAAATTGGTTCTTCAGGGCCGCTTGCAGTATGATCAAGGATCTAGGAAGGTTCTTATAAATCATTATAAAGTTCCTATATGTTATAAAATTCATAAATTTTACAATTTCTAAATGACTTGAAAATTATAAAAAACTTTATTATAAAGTTTTTATATCGTCCTTATGAAGCAGCAACTATTAGCTTACTATTAGCTTAGAAAGCAAAGCTTCAAACTACACGAATTTCATAAATTCCTTATCAACTGCAAGCTTCCAGTAGGTGATTTGCTCTTACTAGTACGACCACTCCCCCACCTATTTGACTTGCTATCTCCAGACGACGGTAAATGACAATATGATGGTATGCTAAATTTGTTTACATTCAGAAAACTAGTGGCTCTACAGATGCTTTAGTTGTACAGTTTTGCTCGGATTGTCACTTCTCTTTTCAAACACACTGCAGACATCTACAGTACGATGTACCATCTCCAAAATATGCTTTTCTCACTCTTTTAAAGAATATTAATTGAATATCACTTCATGCATGCTACCATATTACAAGTACTCGATTTATTAAATGACTGCAATCACTTTTCAAGTGCCGCAGGATTTGGCAGAGAGAGGAGCCAAAATCTCATCCTAATCCAACTTAGATATTGAGCTTTGCAAATATTTTCCAAACACTTAAAAATACATTTAATTCGTGGCAGCAGAAGCTAACAATTCAAAAATAAAAAGCAGAAATAACAAAACAAGAAAGCGTTCATCAGAATACTACAAAACTGCGACATTTTATTGAGAGAGCAAGATAAGCGACGCGAAAGTTTGACTTATACAGCTATAAGGACGTGAACAGAATACGTGCGATTCATATCTGATAAATCTAATGTCCAAAACTAAAAAAACTCCACTATTCCTTAACAGAATTGTATATAAGATGAATTTAGAAATTTCTGACTGTTCCATCAGTCAAATGGAAAGTTCAAGCTACAGTAACAATAAAACGGTGCAAGTGGTGTTACAAAATTACGTGGTCATGAACACGTCATAATTTCAGTATCAGGTAAATTGCTTTGATAAAGAGGAAATATACTTTCTCCAACATTTCAAGAAAAAACGACTCAAAACTAGAAAAAAGCTCTGCTGTCTAAAAAAATTAAAGCAGCTCCATGTATTTCAAACTCGAACCAAAATGATGAATCGCCGATTGATTTCGTTTGTTGAATTTAGGAAACATAAGACAGAATCACGGAACGAATGGGGGACCAATGATAATACACGCGATTTTTCTGAGTGATGATGGCACATTAAGCGATCAACAATGACATATTTCGTAGTGATAGAATCAGTAACGAGAAATAACAGCGGTGAAGGGAAGCTATAGCGAAAGAACAATTTCTTTGAAATAACCGTCCAAATATATGTCTACAGAGAAAAAATTCCTGGACAATTCAAATGCTAATTGGTGACAAGTTTAAGACAAATTTCCAGAGCGCTGACAGCAGAAAGAAAACGATAACTGGATAGGGTGATTAAACAGTGACAAGAGATGTTCTCAGCTAAAAATGAAATCTAGAAATTGAAACGAATTATTAGCTCTGCACACGATTAGATATACGAACAGTTCGTATACGTATAGTATAATAAGAACAACGTTGAACCTAAACTTTCTGGAATTTGTACAAAACAAAAAATAAAGGAGTTTCCACAGGCAATACTTTTCGAAATTGCAGCAAAAAGATTAGCCTGATCAGGTAATCTCAAGGCAAAAACGTTGTTCTTTTAAATAAACAAGAAAACAAAAACAAATCATTATAAACATACACGTGCAGATCAATATACCCTACAACAAAAAGAAAAACAAAACAAACAAAATTAATAGACCATTTTGCTGAATAAATCAAAGAAGTTTCCAGTAATTTTCCAGAAATTTCTCACAAAGGGGCTAGGCTTTGAAGTCTCCAACTTCTCCTTCCATCAGTTTTTTATTAAATAGTGATTACGAATTCCAATAAGACAAAGTCTAAATGAAAACAACATATGCAATTATTTCAACAATAATATCATTTTCCATCCTGGATGTTTCGTAGTTCTTAAAAATGAACGAATGGAACAACAAGACAGCCAACGTGTAAAGCAGCGACAACTGAAGGCTCACAGAATGATTTTCAACAAACTGTGCTTGAGCACGACAATAACAAGAGACCGATAAAAGCAAGCTATCATCTTCTAATTCTAGCCTCTGAGATTCAAATTTGCAAAAACTGGCAGCCAAATTAAAACGCATGAAGAACGTTAAAATCTTTACTTTCTCCTAAATAAAAGCAAATCTAATAACAAAGTAAGAACGAATTTTTTTTACAAAGTCATCCATATCAACTAAAAAAAAATGCAAGGCAGCAAAATATACGAAAATTCTGGAAAAGGAAAAAAGCGGCCACCAAAGAATTAAAAGAGAAGCAAGGAGATCTCTTCAACAATCCAAACATAAGTTCGAAGACCAAATTATTGCTAATTGTTACAGTTGATTCAAGTACCACTGAAATCAGAAAGCCAACTTCTTGCACATTCAGCAAAACGCCTTACCATTGATCGCTCTGCATAAGCTTGCATGGTTAAATATTAACCCACCGAACGTCACTTATCTTCAAACTATTGACAGGATGATAAAAAAAATCCAACTCAGAATAATGATTGAGAATTTTTTTCCTAACTTAAAATTTTTTCCTACTCTTCCCTAACTTAAAAATTCAACAAATATTGGTAAATTCTGCTGCCTTGGGCCTAAAAATTGCAAATAACAGTTATAGTAATATTAATGACACAGCCAGAATATACAAGATATGTCAAAACGTGCATATATGCATTATCATACACACACATCTGACTATTTTTCCAGTGCAGGTCCAAAAGAAATCTCATAACAAATCAAATTTCCGCATCATAAATTAAAACAATTCACCGACAAATAACCTGACACTAATCCTTCTGGTTTTTCAAAGTGCTGAGAATGCACACTTTTTTAATTTGCAATCTCCAACAGTGTTTAACCATCTTGAAGACTCGGCGAAGAACCTATAGTTAAAATATATCACACTTCCAATAATTAAGTAAGGATAACCCCTTAAGGAACTTAATTTTTTTACGTCATTATTTTTTTTCAACTTCAAAGTAATTACAAGTCTACTTTCTGAAGTGACGAATAAAAAAAAAATGAACTTGCAGATAATTTTAAATGTGACAGCATGGAATAAAGTTTAGTATGTCAAAAAAACTGAAGATGAACTTGAATATCAAGAGATTGTACTTCACATTTAACCTCAGCAATACAATTATAATTTTCAAATAAGAAAATCCAAGCGTGCCTAAGACTGAAAACTCCCGAATACTAAAATTTAAACTGCACTTCGGAAATTCAGACAATGCAAACCAACAATTCTGAAAAGAAATGTAGCCTAACTGAAATTTGATTGGAAAAATTACATGAAAAAAATTACCTATGTTGAGCTTCTGTACATACCCTGAGTGCTGGAAGTACTTTGCCCATTGGTAGGTCCAATATTTAGTCGCTGTGAAAAATCATTGATAAGCTGACTAAGCCTCGCTTGCACAGCTTGCGATGACTGAAAATTACCGAGTACACGAACAATCGTTGCTTTTTGGGTTTCATCATCACCTGTATCATCCGGGATTTTTACCTGTGCTCCCGTCATACGCTGTAGCTCGCGAACCTGAAGTATTTTTAGTCAAATTACTTCAATATCTGGATTTTCAACTTCAATGGGCGTGTAAAATTCTTTAAGGTTGAGAAACTCACATTTTGACCTCCTTTTCCAATAATTCTTCCAACAAGTCTGCTCGGCACAGCAATTTCAGTACATAATCGTACTTCATCCATGTAGTGGCAACTTTGTTCGGCAATGCGCTGATATATCCAGAATTGTGCCTCAAATGTCATTTTGAGTCAGCTCTAATTTGAAATCAAAAAAATGCGGAAAATAATGAGACTGTACCTTCCTTTATCTAATTCCCTATTCTACCTTACTTCTTTTTAATTGAAAAACACCACACTGACAAAAGACATTAGTAAGGCTTCAAAATCCAATCTTAAATGTCTGATAAATCATGCAAAGGCTTCTTATAATTCAACAGACATTTATAATTGCATATGTCTTGAAGAACAGAACAAATATATCTTGTGGAACCTAGTAACTCACTTGTATTACCATTACATCTTTGCGTAATTTCTTCTGGAAAATCTATTCAAATCTTCTACAAATTATTCAAAATCAAAAAATTACTTTGTACTGTTGAGGATCGTTGCCAATAATCGTCACAAGACGTTCCTCAGCATGCACATCCTTATCTTTATCCTTTGCCAACTTTGGTGATGTTGTCTGAAGGTAGATTTCAAATTATAATGGAATGTATAATATGGTCAATGTCTCAGGCATCTTAAGAAGAAACAATGAAAAATCAAGATGGTATCTGATTAGTTCAACTTTAAGTTCTGTTGACTTGAAATTAAAAGAAAAGTGTGCTCAACGAGGGTATACAATACATCCCAACTACCAAACCTGTTCGCTCATCTATTCCAGTCATTAAATCATCATATTTATTGATCAATCTTGCTAGAGACAAAATACTATAAACGTTATGACCTTTTCTACATTCTCTTCTTTCTTCTCAATCTGTTTTTCATCGCTGTTATTTTCATCCTTACCCGGTTCATTAACCCTTTCATTTGCCGCCACCGTTTCCTCCTTTACCGATTCGGTGCTGTTTTCCTACGCATAACATTGATTATTTTTTCGCGTCATCAAAAAGCCCAAATATTTATTTGAAAATTTGCTTTAACTCAATGAGTTCCCTAGAAACTGAAATAAAATTATTGAACCTTATCACTTTTTTCATTGTTTCCTTCTCCTCTGTTTTCCTTTTTGTCTTTATTCATCCCTCCGCCTTCAATGCGCAGTTGCGCACCTGTCAGCCGTATTGCACTTCGTATGTGAGCACCCTAAAGACGCCATTAAAAAAACCTGTCAATTAATTCATAGTTAATTTTGAGAAATTACATGTCTGTTCAATGTTGTTAATGTACTTTTTTCGCCAAAAGACCAGTTATAGTCAGCTCCATGTTTGGACAACTACTGGGGACTACATATCGCCGAATGGTATTGCAAAAGTTAGAAAAGCTAAAACGAAAAAAAAGTGTAGGAAGGCAAAACTAAAACGAAAAAACACTAAGAAGGGAAATATGAGTTCAGTCAAAACTCAGTTAAGAATTCAAGCTCTTTTTCCCACTCTCAAAAATTCTCGCATACTACACTTGTTTCTGATCTTCTCTTTACATAAAGTTTTGAAACACCACTAACCTTTGCACCAATCAGCGCACCAACCATGTTATTCGGTACCCACATGTGAACAGTACGAACCTGCTGCTGACTTGCAGCAGTTGTGGTAGTACCAACCGTATTGCGAACATAATGAGCGGGAGGGAGACCAGTGGCAGCAGTCAGATAACCTGCTTCGCCCATAGACGTCATTAAAGGCATAGATGCTGCAGCACCCGAACTTGAAAACATTATCTAAAATAAAATAAAAAAGTTATAAAGGAAAGTGGAAAGCATTTCGATATTTGAAATAAGCATAATGTCACCTAAATGTTTTCTGTAAGGGTTATCAGATTATCTCATGAATAGATTGAAAAACAGTTTGCATCAGGGAATCTATGGGAAATTCGTACTCCATATTTACAGGATCTTTTAAACCAGTGTTTACAAAGTTTAGAAAGCTTAGAGGGGAAATTCCTGCAGCGCAAAAAATTCCTATACAAAAAAAAAAAAAAAACTACAAGACATAAAGCTCTCTTGAAATTTGAAACTAACCCGACTATTCACATCGGCTTCAAAACTTAAACGTAATTTCTGACTTATTTTTTGTTCCGCTGCAGAAACAACACTCATTGTGGAAGCTTTCACAGTGACTGTTCGTTCCAGGTGCACTGACACATCAGATCCATACAACGATGAAGCAGTATAGGGTGGCATCAAGGCATAAGCATCACGTGCCAAAGTCGGTTCACTTAAATTACTGCGACGGAAATTTTTTTGTTCTCAGTTAGACGTCCTAGATCTTATTAAAATCATCGATATCAAAAGAACCAGTTGCGTTAGTATAAAATTCATTTTCAACACCAATTTTACAGATGTAGCTAAGCTATTACGTATATCACAGCTGTAGATGAATTAAACTTATCGTCGTTATACCGCTCAAAGGAAGTTTACGATACAAGTGTGTAATTAAAAGAAACGACAAATATACCGATTCTTACCATGAATTGCTTGGCTTTGTAAACATCGATAAAACTGCATTTCTGCATCAAAAAAGGAAAAAAAAATGAAAACCAACTTCGACACATAAATATGAGCACCAGTCTCTTCCATAATCTTTTTGATCGTGGCACCACCTCTGCCAATCAAACGTCCAACTAGCTGATTATGAGCGCGGATTTTCAGTTCGATATCAGGACTGAAAGTCGATATTTGTAATCAAATCGATAAATGATAAATGGTAAATGATTAATATCGATAAATGATAAATGATTAATAGTTTCAGGAAAGAGCACAAGACAATCACTGACTGAAAAAATCTTCTAAACAACGCAATAATTCAAATTTGGATTTTTACCTACCAATTTTCTGACCATTCCTGGCGAAGATTTTAAAAGGGAAAAATCTTACTGTTGTGCAATAGTGTTATCTTTTTCCATTTCCTTCCTCACAACTTCTAAAATTTTGATGCATGCTTTTGAACAACCCTCCGGCTGCCCCAAAATGGATATAACCTGTAATAAAAAATGACTCAAATATATTTGGAATTATTTTGGTCTTTTCAAAATTACCTTCCAGAACTCTAAAACTTAAAATTAAAAAGCATGAATTTCATAATTGCAAAAAAAAAAAAAAAAAAACAAAACCTTTTCAGTATTTTTAGTAAGATCACGCGCAGCTCTCTGCACATCAACAACACAGCGTGCTTTGGATTCTTTCGTTATTTCACGAATGCTCGATCCACCCTGACCGATGATGGCTCCCACATATCTTGCATCAACAACAATTCGCAGTGGCATATCCTATAAATTAAAAACTTTTGGAACTCAAAAGCTGGGTAACCCATTACGCATTCGAAATAAGTAATTTACCCTGACTGCAATGTAAATTATTAGATTAAAATGCGTAATAGGTTACTCCTCAGATATTTCTAGTACGAGGATGTTATTTAAGAAGGATAAGCAAAAGACTATTTGGCTAATGATGAAGGCGTATGCATATATCACCAGAAAGTGCGTACGTTTGCATTATGTGTATGTTGCGCAATGATGGGAGTAAGCCAGAGATGCGTCATAAAAGAAAGCTGTCCATTAGCATAGGAATGAAATTTGAAATGAAAACCGCATTCCAAGTTATGGTGCTAGCTATTACTGATCAACATTTGGAATTATAAACACATTAAAATGCATTTGTATTCTTTTTTCCTAATCATTCTCCATCTCCCACTAAAACTGAGAATTTGGAATTTCGATATTAAAATGGCTACCTGAGACGAAAGCATACAATGATGTGGTGTAAGTGAAGCTGCCAGTGGTGTAATGCCTTGAGCAATACTATGCGGTCCATCAGCAGAAACAGTTCCTGATTGATGCATACCTTGATGTGTGATACTTCCCGACGGTACATTGCCCTGGTGTACACTACCACGATTTACACCGTTCCCACCAACTTCATGACCACCTTGCCGTTGTTGCACATTATTTGCTATCTCTGCAAACATTTCCGTCTCAACACCAAATAAAAGAATATTGTTATTAGAAGGAACGTCTCATAAAATCCCTGTGCACAGTAGTAAAATGATAACCATACCCAAACGATGTACAATAAAGTATAGGAAGAGATAACAAAATTACTATTTGCTAATGATGGAAAAAGCATTGGAAAAAAAAGCATTCTATTTGCGTTAATAATTTCTAAAAAACAGAAAAATTGTCTAAACTTACGCCCAGTACCAATGGACGGACGAGAGTAATGGCTTGGACCTTGCTGAAATGTTACGGGATGATGTTGCGGAACGGCTTGATAACCTGAAGAAAAAGCAAAAATTTCATACAACTTCAAGGATATTCCGAACTACGCAAATAAGATCATAAACAACTTTGACAGCAAAGTAAATTTAACCGCTCAGCTTTGAGAAATACAAAAGATGTAGTAAGTCTTTTAAAACTGAAGCATGTACAGTGTGGATCAGCCTTTCTGATACTTTGTTATTCAGTCACCAGTGCGTTAGGTTTTCTTTAGTTCTTCCCTGCCGACATACTGAAATATCTTTAATCTCACTAAAACTACTAATATGCTGTCGTCAATTTCGTCAATAAAAATGAAGCTCATAAGTTATGTTTTGGAACAAGATATTTTATAGAATCCTGCCAAATTCTTTTTTTCAATTTTCTGTAATATTCCGGGTTAGCGAAGCATACAAATGTGCGGAATATAGTAAAATTCAAATTACAAAAGTTTTGTCCCGGAGGAAGTATTGATTTTATACTGCTTATGAAAGTATAAAAAGTAAAGGTGAGGGACTGAAGAAGTAGGGAAAGGTTGGAGTGGGAAGAGAAAATCTTCATCTCATGGAGAGGTATGACAGAATGCCTATTATCCGAAAATTATCGTATCTTAAGTAAAATCTATGAAAAGAAAAAGAACGATAATAGCAAAAGTCACAACAACTAATGTTTGTTGAAAAACAAAAAATGAAAAAAAAAAAACTGGACTTCAAAAACGAAACACATCAATTTTATTTATCTTCAGTGACAGAATCAATCAATAAGAGGAAGGAGAGATAACCCGAGGGCTGTATTCACTGCTGCTGACATACGACAACGTTTTTCAAGTTTAGTCCATCGTACGCAAGAAAGGACCAACATTGAAAATAAGCAGTACACACAATAGAGAAAAGTTCCTATTTTAAAGCACGAAGTAACGTCAACTGTGCAGCGCTAAAAAAATATAACTGTAACTAAACTTCAATTATATCAATATGAATAAGTTTGTTACTCAACCTTACCCACTAAAAAAGATTAGAATTACATGGTTTCGGCGGGATTGTGTGAAAAACAGTTAGATCAGTAAATATAGTGCTAGAAAATTTTACCATTTATTCGGAATTTTTCCGAATTTAACTTCATTGGTTTCACTTTTTAACTGGTGATTTTTCTGTTCAGTGTCTTAGAGGCTTTAGGTATAAAAAAAGGTTACCACAAGTATATTATCATTATTAGGGTGGCAATCCATTTTCATCAAAAAATTATTGGAAATATAAATAATCCAACTAGTGCCAATAACTGATGTTTGAACAAAGATTTGGTCTGCAATGCTCAATCTAATTTTAAACTATAACATATTGTGGAGTAAATTTCGCGAAAATGAAAAGACATTATCAACAGATTACTGGCTCGAAAATAGGCCATAAATTTGACATCTAAACTTTTTGTAATTTAAACAATGGATCGGAATCCCTAGCCTCAACTAAAATATTTCCGAAGATATTGATATTTTTTGAACTGGTTGTAATGGAACAGATATTCCCAAAAAAAGAACAAAGTATCAAAAAAATAATTCGTGAAAATCGGCTATCGGATAATAAAGAACAATCTGATTTTTAAGCATCTTGTACTGAAAAAGTTGATCGATGATGGACGTTAAAATTCTCACAGAAAATTTTTAAAACTATCTGTTAATGAAGTGCTAATAAAACGAAAAGTTGAAGAAAGAGCAAACCAAGAACCATAAATCATGCAAGAGTAGTTCAACAGGAGTGAAAAATGCTGCAGCAAAAATGCGAAATCCCCAAATGCTACTTGAAAGGATGGATGCAGACATACACATGTATATCTATTCACCAACTCATATGATTCGTGATTTTTAGTATAAATTTTGGATAAAATAGCGTTATGAGACAATTATAACTTATATTTCAAACATCTATCAGAGGTTGATTCAATGAACTTGACTGCTGAATAATAATTCTACTACTTTTAAAGCATGAATTTGATCTTCACCCAGCAGATACGTTATTTTCGCCAAGATACTTCCAAAAAACATCATGTAATACTTTTTGGAATCTAAATTTCCGAAAATTATACAATGCTAAACATGTAAAACTGAGTCTACGCACATACAATTACCGATCGGGCATAAAATACAAAGATTTTCTCACATTTCACTCAAAATTTTTGCAAAAAGCCATTTTCATTGACATAGATTACTAAATAACAGGGATAAAACAAATGACGACAGCTTCATTTAAATCCTAGTATCTGTACAACAGTTACTGATTCCGTCCTAAATTTCTGTACTTTAATGGGTACTTGGATTCCAAAAACCTCAAACAATGATAATTTCCGTCCCCAACACTTACCTAAAGACGGATATAAATATGTATCAAGTAAAATAGTCATTCGCCTTTCTTAATTGAAATTGATTTAAAAATAAAACCGTATGTCTCTGATGCTTTCAGCAACTTTTTCACTAAACTGTACCTGTATTATACCGAATACAGAAATTAGAATATTTAAAACTAACTTGCAATATACGGTGGCTGATTAGGATATAGATTGTAGGGTGTTGTGGTGTAGACAGGCTGTTGCGCTTGGGTCGATCGGTTCGCAAAATGCTCCATTTGTTCTTTAATATGTCGCACTTTTTCTGAACAAACTACTTTTATAGTCCAGCTATAATCTACTGCACAAATTATTTAATCATTACGAAAACATTATAAAAGCAATTCTTTTTAACTTGTTGAGTGTTCGAGGTGAGAACTCATCAACACCTCTTTCATAACAGTGATATTATAGCCTATCCTAAACGGATAGATCACTGAGGATCTGTCCTGCAATGATATATGCCCAGAGATAAGTATGTTTCCTAAGAAAAAGAAGTGCTACCTCAGATGAGTAAAAAGATTTGAATGCAAATCCAATCTTGTCGCTGCTCGTCACAAAACTTCCTCAAAAGTACAGTTTGTTAATCTTTTCGTTGAAAATAATGCCAGTTCTTCACAAATAATTTCTGAAAATAACTTATACAAATGCACATATAAAAGTGAAAATAATATTAATAATGATGTTTTAGAAATAGTTGTACATAAAACAGGAAAGGAGAAATAAAATAAATCCTTCACCTTGAAGAACAAATATTCAAAACACCGTTTACGAGTCAACAAATATATACCAGTATAAAGATTACGTTACATAACCAATATAGCAAACTCCTAAAATGCTACATTCCATAACAGTAAGTCTGCAGCATCCCAAGAGGAATGCCGCAGAATCTGGTCCCGAAACCATAACTTTCTCTATGCTTCATCCTACTCGCCCTACCCTTTATCTCTCCATATCCCTCGTCTTTCCTCCATTTTCCTTAACCAAATTTTTAGGTCAAGCAATGTTTTACATTCATTCGAACTTTTACGACTGACAGAGAATTGGATGAATGACAGGTAGACGGTTGCTGAAGTAGATGTTAGAATCATGTCCCGACGCTGGCAAGTGAGACGATGAGAGGCAGGGTAAGAAGGAAGAATGAAAATGATGGAGTGACAGGTTGATAAGAATAACGAACGACAGCAACCCGTTGACAATTCACTTGACAGCTCGAGCGAAAAAGAAAAAGAGATTTGGAAATATGAATCCACAAGGTCATAGGTAATTATACTACTGTTCAGATTACTCCAACCTTCTGCTTGTTCAAGCATCCTGGCTTGAACGAAAGAAAACGATAGAAAAACTCTTACTTAGTTACTTAAACCATACCCAAAACCTCTCCGAAAATCTACTACATCCATCTCACCCTCAGAAACTACCCCGCCCACACCCCGCCACCAATAATCAACCAAGTCTCAAACTACCGTACCCGCTGACCGAATCGCGTGTTTTCCTTCCAAGATCACAAATTTAATCCAACAGCGCACTTTCGCTAGTATTCGAGTCCAGGTGACGTTATCTGGGGGTTTCAGTGGAATTCTTCGGAAGATTTATTTATGCAATTAGCTCAGGAATACTGAAAAAATGGAAGCTATAAATCTCAGCAAACACAGTGATATCTGCACTAAAAACAGTCGACGAGATATCGTGTGGTTGCTGTTTGATGTAAGTTGCTGCTCCATAGGGTCATTCAGGAGATAAGTTTTGGCGAGTTGGAGTCTGGAAAGTTATGAAAGATAGGAAGTATTTGACCTGAGAGATGCTAGAAGTTGAACAATTGTGGAAGGCCAACACTGCGGGTATTGTTTCAGAAGTTTATTTGCCGTAAATTATCAGAACTGTAAAAAGACATAATAAATTTATCCAAGCTACCCTCAGTTGAATAAAGTTGCCATGGCGACTTGGCGGTCAATTTTGAGCTAAATTGGTTTCCGTAAACTTGCCAAGGTCAACTGTTTCGTCGAAATTTCCTACTACAAATATATTTTGGGTTACATATAAAGTTTGATTATAATTTTTTTCACGTTTTGGAGAGAAAAATTTTGTTTTTTGGATTTTTTTTTTTGGATCATTGAAACATGAAGCCGTGAAATAAAATTTGAAAATTTTTGTTATATTGAAAATTTTTATGCTTTTCAGTTATGCTAAAAATTTTTATCGAAAATTTTTATGCTGTTCATAGAATCAATAGTTTATACAGATTAGATTAGGACAAGAAATAAGATGTTGTTAATAACATTTTTGGAAGTGAAAGAATTTGGACTATGTAGAAACGATAATTTGTTCGGGAATCTCGGTTAATGAATAAAAACTAAAGAAGCATCTCCATCAATTTCGGATCATAGAACAGACTTTTGACTGTGCTTACAAACTTTTACTGAACAAGCAATCCTTTCAAACTGAATTTTTGAAAATGAAAAGAATATTATGTGGATGAAATTGCAGAAAAAACAACTTATTTAATCGTTTGCGCCAAAATGACTTACTCATTTAAAGTTTGGAAGAGATGGAGTCGTGAAAAAAGACGCATGGTATGTAATGCTCTTTCACATTCAATAAAAACAATTAAAAATTTTCTTTAAAACTTGAAATTCATTCGTTATCTTTTGGTGGCAAACTCAGAAAAATTACTTCTTGGATTCCATTACTATATTTTATGTTTTCCACGCCAATTGCTTAAATCGAAGTTTCCATAAAATTTTGAGTCAGCATTCAACGCTGTTATTTTTGAAAAAAAGAAATCCTAAAATCGGTTTCGCCAGTCTGTAACGTCGAAAACAGCATAAATGATTATTAGAAATCTCATCACCCACAACTTGAAAAGACTACAAGTGCCAAAATTTTGATGGAAATCTATCTGAATGTTAATTTTTGATGATGAAACTGTTTGGAGCTGGTATTATTAAATTATCAAAATTTGAAGGATACATTTTTGGTTGAGGCTAAGGAGGCTTTCGATCCGTCATTTACACTGTAAAAAAGTTTGAATAACAAGTTTGTGACCTTTTTTTTGAACCGATAATCTGCTAATATTGTTTTGAGCCTTATGTAAAAATGGTCCAAAAGTAATTTGGATCTGGAATTGAAAATTGAGATTTCAGTATAAAACATTAACAACAGCCTGTTGCGCATGCGCGGTAATCATCGGTGCAAATGTATTGGTTATGCAAAAGTTTATTAAACATATACCAACAGTTATACTTGCTATTTTGGAAATAATCTCGGTTTTTTTCATCATATTAGCACTCATTCTCGCTGCCATTCTCAAACGACGTGATTTATTGAACGCTTATATGATTTCTGCGGTGAATAATTGACATTTAAATAGATCCAGATTTCTATTAAGAACGATACAAATAACCAATAATGCTATTGTCAAAAATGTTATTTGCTTTTAAATCCAATGTTTACTGAAGAAAAACTTCTGTACCACTAACTTTAATTGATTTGTTTCAACTTCTGTATAAGATGGACACCTTAAGGAAATCCAGCCAAGATAGATGAAAATATTTGCTTTTCCTAACAGAGAATAATTGTCAAAGAACCGTCATAGCGACTGTGAAAAAGACCCATGATGTTATCCTTCGACTATGACATATTTATGAGTCAATCGAAAATTATGCCAAACTTTGTTACATTACAGTTTATGTATTCCCAATATCGTGTCATTATCGCTGTAACTGCTGCCTTGATTGCTATATTTCCACAAACTTATATATATCTACTTCCAAGTCGACAATATACTAAGCCACAAGGTCCATTATGCTAGTCATTTGTCCATACGCATAATTGGCCAGTTTAAAAAATGCCAAAATTAGAGGTTGTTGAAGAAGGAATTCAATTCAAATACAGTTGCGGCGATCAGTCTATAATGTCTTTTACTAAATAATAGATCGAGAAAAATATCAAATAATATAATTTCAGTTAAAATATATTATTTGCAGTGCGGGTGATATGGATACTAGTTTCTTTTGCAAGCATCCTTGCATGGACACTGCAAATGATATCAGTATACTTTGCCATGATGTATCGCTCTTATTTACCGCGATCCCGAAGACAGAAGGTAGTATCAGATGCAGTTCCTAAGAAAAGATTAGACGAAAGTGCAATGGAGGCAAATACCGCGGAATCGCAATTACAATCAGCTCCCGAAAAGGAACTGAAAGCATTATCCAAAGGCGAATCGCAACTAATTTCTGAAAAAAATCTTCAACCGATTCCTGGGGGAGAACCACAACTATCACTTTTCACGAAAGATCAGAAACCGGTTTCATATCCATCTACAAATAGTAGAAATAATGACCAAGGGAGAGAAAAACACTAATGGAAAAATAAAAAAAAATTGGATTCTGAATTGAACTGCGATAAATGCGCTTGAGTGGCTTTTATAATAAAAAATCGATTCAAGCGCAAGAATCTCCCGCTTGCAGATGGAATATAATTTATTCGTTCTATCTCGATCCAGTTTAATCTAATTTACTTGTCCATATTCACGTAAAAATTGCAAGATCTAGATTCTAGATATTTTGAGTTTCTATGTGATTTTAATATATTTCATTTAGTTCAAATTTTCCCTTGTAAATTGTTGTTTGCTCTTTCATAAAAAAGAAAAAATCCTTGCTGAATAATTCATTCACATAAAAATGCAACGACAGAAACGTAAGTTTATGAAAAACATCCCTCAAAAATCCTCTGTCCTAATCTTTTTCATCTTAAAATCTTAAATGAGGATAAAATTCGCATTTTCATAATTTATTTTTTTAAGGATTTCGATGTCTGATTGACTGAAAAAGTGTAATGGCAGTGCACTTGAACTGAGCAAAAGAAGAGCTCAAAGTCGCTAGTTTAATCATCCCGTAGAATTGATCGATAAGTGCGTAATGGTTGACTTGATCATTAGTGTTGTCGATCATTGTCAGCAAACAACAATGTCATCGTATCACGATCTTCGTCTTAGTTTTCCACCTAGCGATACTTGAAATGTTTAACTGACTGTACATTTGGCTTTACTAATGCTTTAAGCTACGAGAATGCTGCTAATGCTGAAAGATTGAATGTGCGAAAAAAATGGTATCTTATGTCAACAAGTTTATTGAAATGATTTCAACTGAATTAGTATATTGCAGATGTTAAATGATGTAAGTCATGCTTGATGAAGATTACACAGACAGTTGTCCAGCTTCTCTTAGTATAGTTCTAATAAATTTGCTTACAATAAATGTGTTATGTAAACAACTTGACATACTTTGTAAAAATGTTTTCTGAGTATGCAGTGGTGAAGACATTTTATGCTAATATTATCATTCTTATTTCTGCATAAAGAGGAGAATGCGGTTGAGATGTCATTTCGTGCATATTTCCTGCTTCTAAGGTGCTTATTCGCCAACTATTCTCTCCAAAAACAAATTTTCTATCCTCTTTAGCTAATTAATTCTGTATTTTCCGTGAAATTGAATGAAACTTACGTCATTCTATTGTTCTCCTCTTCTCTCTTCTCTCTACTCACAATTTTGTTTCTCTGTGTAATTAAATTCTTCTTGAAACTTTAAATTTTAGTCTAATAATAGTAGGATGACGAATATTCATCCTGACGAAGAAAACAAAACCTCCATTCTTGACGATTTGCCAAAAAAATTGTTAAATGAATCATATTACCATGGATTCCTTCCTCGTGAAGATCTCCCATGTCTGTTAGAACAGGTTATTGTTTTAAGATATTTTTTCTCGTTGTCCATTTAATGGCAGGGATATAATTAGGCTTGAAACAAATTTTGATACTAATTAATTAAATTAAATTAATTGGTTATTTAACCCATTGTTTTATTCTTCTCTAATCTTTAACTTGAGTAGTGCAACTGTCAGCAATCTCCTCTTCTATTTACGTTTGTCAATGGCCTTTGGCTCCAACATTGCAATTAATTGTTTCACTGAATCCACTAACACAAAATGACTTTACGTCTTAGGTGGGAGATTTTCATAGTTCGAATTACTCAACTGAAAACCGGTGAT